CTTAAGACTGATTGATTGAATAGTCAAAGGGAAGACAGGAAACTAATTTCAGAGGTACATGTGAATACAGAAAGCTAAATCTAGCTAACTTTGTAAAGACCAAAGATTCATTGCACATTCAACATTCTTATTAGTATATTGGGTCTGTTTGTTAATACTCCATAGTATGACGTGAATATCTCTCACCAATTTCTACAAATTCCAAAGACAAAGCAGGTTTAACCCACAAACTGAAGCTTACTTCTCACTGTGCCAGCGTCTGGCAACTATCCTTCAGTATCAATGGAAAATTCTTCAGAAGATATGTTTCAGTTTTAATCTCACATAAAAATCGTTGTCATTCCTTCAGTTTCAGTTAATTCAATGGGGTTTCAATATCAATCAAGATTAGCATTTCCTAAAATAAGAATGGACATGCTATCCATGCAGTCACTCAGATGCATGTGAGAGCTTCAGAGAAATGTATTTCCACAATCTCCACACAATTTAGCACAGTGTAATAAAGACTAAACTTAGAACGAAGGATAAACAGTGATCAATGATGGTATGATGGCACACTGCACAATCCATGAAACCATACTCCTAAAAATACTAAATGATGGTAATGGAAAATGGTGGAAATAAATTGTTGATTGGCATATACAAAAGATCAATAAACTTTTTCGTCCCATACCCGTAACATTTATTAAAAATAAAGTCCAGTAAACTTTTCGCTTGGTAGAAACACAAATAAAGTTTATTCCATACTTCTGAATTAACGAGATTTAAAGACATAGTGTAGTCGTAACAGAGGAAGTACGTGTGTGAAAATGAACTTTTACGGCGAAAAAGCCGGACAGTTTTTGTAATATTGATGAAATAACGACGGTTTTCAATTTAGTAATTTAAAGACATGTGTGTCTAATGGTGTTCTCGGACTAGTTAAGTTTATTGAGTGTTTCGTTGATTTAAACTGTAACCTAAACATCGATACGTTCACATTTATGCACACTACCTAATTATAGCGGTGCATTAATGTGAGCGATACTAATGTTATAGATAAAAGTTTAGACTAACAAAACATGTTATAAACGCATGTTCGGGCACTTGAACTGTTATCACATTTTGACCCGCATACCCACAATTATCTGCATGAATTAAGCATAATCTTTAGTTTTCATTATCCTTCTCATGTAAACCAACAAGATTATGGGCATGTAATTTGATCAACGTCTTACAAAATAAGAACGTGCATGAAGTGTGGGCTCGAAAATACGACTTGATATAAAAGATGATGCGTTATTGCCAAAGCTGGAAAGAGAACTGCCACCATAAAGATATATTTTAAGCCAATTAACGACTCTTGAAGTTTCTTAACCTGGTTCGTCACCTTTTTCTATGGCTTCCACGCCTTGAACGCAGATACCTTAACCGCATTAAGGAAAAACTTCATTACAACGATTTCTTGTTCCATACGCCTTAATAAAATCGTGGGGCTAGGAAGGGAATTAGATTGCTTTCGAATATTGGGTTTAGGCTTCTTTTTGGGTTTGATTCTGCTGTCTTCTAATTCTGAGATGTCTGTAGAAATGTGAGCTAAATATAATTACAAGCGAGTATTGATTTCCAACTTCTTGATAAAATGTGAGCCTCATTCTCAACAGAACCACATAAAATCAGTGTAACGCTTTTTATGTGGATTCTACTGCCCTTCGAAGCTGTTTGTATTTTATTATTATTATTGTTACTACTACTAAAACTACGGATACCACTACTTATTATTATTATTATTGTTCTTCTTATTGTTGTTGTTTTTGATATTGCTATCATTTCCGTTATCAATGTTACAAGGAGAAAATCCTTGGAATCATTATGTTTAGGAATGAAATATTTTTCGTCCAGATTTTGACGATAGCATATACGAATTCTTAGAATTTAATCTTTCTCTGAGTGTGTGGACATTCGCGATAAGAAAAGACGGCCGAGGGAAAAGTGCATTGCATTTAAGGCTTAAAATACGCGGAACTGTTATATAAGTCACTTGTAGTTTTTTCGTTGGTTGGTTATATCACATGCTTATCCAGCTACGTCTTATCTGCCATTTGTATTCCTCCCACCTAGAATGTTCTTTCATTCCTAAAGCTTTCCATGGCATAATTATTGTCAGTAAATTAAACTTATTTACTTCGCTTTTATTCGCTTGTCTCAATTACAGTTTTCAGGGGCTCATTTTTTCTCGGTACATCCTTTATTCCCTTAAATGATCCTAAAAGAAAAGGGCTCATTGTAACATGAGAAAAGTTATATATAAAGAAATGATAATTCTCCGTGTAGGCAACAAAAGTCCTCGTATGTAAACATTCCAGAAAACAAAGTTCATCCCCTTAGCCAGTAAAGAGTATCGTTATTAATATAGCCAATAGTACGGAAATGTATCTTCAGTGGAAACCCATTGTAAGATTGACCTTAGTGTTGCATTATATAGATATGCATCTTGGGCAAAACCTAAGTCTTCATTCGATGGGTTAGGAGCATTTTTTCCCTTCTCTTATATAGAATACCATGCATGTTCATTCAAATCAAGTGTCATTTGTAGTGGATTTTTAAAATTATTTTCAAACCACTTTCGCCGTTTGTTTCATCAGGGTAAAATTGTTTCCTTTTACTCTAAATCACTGAATATTCATTCTTGTGCACAGCCACGTATTTCCACATTTTTTTCACACAATAGTAAAGATAACTACCATTAAAATTTTCCCTAAGAGTAGCTACCATCATCATTTTTATACTCTTATTTCCAAAGCATTTTCTCTCTTTTCTATTCATCTTCCTTTTTGTTTTTTTCATTTTTTTTATTTTTTCAATTCTTTCGATGCTAGCTCAAGTTTGTCTTCTGAAGTTTTAAACTTAAGTAACTTTATTCAGAGTAATGCATGAGAGTGGGAGAGGGGAAGGACAGAAAAAGGAAGAGAATAAAAGAGTGTGTGAGAGAGAGAGAGAGAGAGAGAGAGAGAGAGAGAGAGAGAGAGAGAGAGAGAGAGAGAGAGAGAGAGAGAGAGAGAGAGAGAGAGAAAGAGATGTAGAGAGAGAGAGAGAGAGAGAGAGACAGAGGGAGGGAGAGAGAGAGAGAGAGAGAGAGAGAGAGAGAGAGAGAGAGAGAGAGAGAGAGAAAGAGAGATGTAGAGAGAGAGAGAGAGAGAGAGAAAGGAAAGTAGAGAAGGGAGGGAGGGAGGTGGGAAGAGAGGATGAGAGAGAAGGCAGGGAGGGAGAAAAGAGTGTGAGAAAGAGAGGAGGGAAGGAGGAGAGAGGTGGTAAAAGAGGATGTGTGTGTGTGGGAGAGAAGGAGAGTAAAGAGAGTCAGATAGACAGAGAAGCAGCCAGACATACAGAGAAAGGGGAGGGAGGGAGAAGAGAGGGGGTAAGAGAAACTAGTAGGAGGGGGAAAGAGAGAGGTTGAGAAAGGAGGGAGGGAGAGGGGAAGAGAAAGGTTAAGAGAGAAATAGTGAGGGTGGTGGAGAGAGAGAGAGAGAGAGAGCACAAACGAGAGTGAGTAAGTGCGAGAGCGAAAAGAAGAAAAAAGAAAAAGAAGTCGACAAAGAAGGGAAAGTAAATAAGAGCCACAATACAGACGAACATGAATTACTTATTAACGAAAAATAAATTAATCTTACCAAGACCTGAATCTCTGTTCTCTATAGTATTGTTCATCAAAAATACATAACCCACTACACTACACTTGAAAGACAAAATCCAGGTGTTGTATCACAAGTTGCGAGTATTTCCCAGTGAATCACGTGGTTATTGAGTGTGTTAAAGTACATAAGACAAATTGTAGTCTTTTTATAGCAAAAAATATTGAAAAAAGTGTAATGGAGCAAAGTGTTAGAGTGATGAATTAGAATACTTGAAGATTGTCACTTTTATTAGAGGGTGATGACAATGGAGATTGATACGGTCCTTTGGGTCAAGACGCTGAAATGTTAAAAGAAATAAATTTTGATATTGGTAATTTAAACCTTGATAATGCATGTCAATGTGGCTGTACTATTTTTTTGTGTGTCTCTGTTTATAGAATCACTTTTGTTAGGTATATCAGTTACGAATTCATAGTTATTTACTATTCTCTGTGATATATAAGGTTGTGTGTTATATACACCTCCAATATATTTCATACATGTAGATATCCAGTGAATTGGCAGTCCGTACATACGACATCCAAAACTATATATTGGCAAATCTATAGCATTCATGTACAACACTGAGCAATTAAAATATAATATGTACTTAAAGTTCTATACGACTAACATACACACAAGGCACACGAAAAGGTGCAAGCACAAAGGCATCTTGAATACTCCTTTGCTTTGGTTTCTTCTCTCAAAATGAGTGTGCTGTAATCACAAAAAATGAGTATCTAAGGTATACACAGAATAAGAGTTACCACCATTACCGCAAACGATACGAAAGCGACGCCAGAGCCATGACTTCGGTGTTGACTGATGTTAGTAATCAGTGTTTAAATGTATGATGTGATGTAAGAATTGAAACAGTATTGCAATACAAGTAATGGATTTGCAAGATTTAACTGAAGTGCAGACGTTGTTATGGTTTATAAATAAGTTATAGACATCTTAATCCGAAGTCAAGGCTCCATCATCATATTCGCATGACTTGCGGTGACAATGGTGGTAACAATTCACAGAAGTGCTATCCAGTACCTAAAAGAAAGAAAAAACAGCGATAAAACTAACTTTGTCTCTTTTTCTCGGTCTTTCTAGCAACACCCATTGACTGAAATCCTCACCAGCTTCCTTTTAAACCTCTTCAATCTTGTTACAGTTCACTCAGCCTTTAACTGCAGTGTCCTGTGTTTGCTCGAGTTCGCTATTTCCTGCTCACAAATGCACAATACCACATTCTTTCCCAGCGAAAAAAGATCGACAACAAGTGGAATTCGGTTGATCGGTAACAATAATACATATGAGGGAAAATATAAGGACGGAAGAACAGGGTTGAGCAGATCATAAGAGCGTGGTTGGCACCGCAGGGTTGTGGCACCGCCCCACATCCCGCCACCAGTCTGGGATGTTCCTCAGGGTCGACGCTTCATCGTCATTGTGGATCTTGAGGCAGAGCTCGCACAGGGGCGGCCTAAGGGTGGCACTCCAGAAGGCGCGCCACAGGTGGAACCTCGCGTAGTCTCGAGGGGAGCCCTGCAGCTGCCGCAGAAGGAGTGCCAGTTCCCGCGGCTGGTACTCGCGGGCGTTGATGTAGGAGTTGGGCGGCAGGAAGTGGGAGTAGTTGGCGCCCCCGAGCACCACGGGCACCAGGCCGTGCACCAGCGGCTTCCACAGCTTCTCGGTCACGTAGGCGTCGCACACGGAGTTCTCGAAGGCCAGGTAGAACAGGAACTTCCGGGCCAGGACGTCCTGCCAGCAGCGGTCCTTCCGGTGGGACTCCCGCCGGCCGCAGCTGCAGGGGAGGGGGGGGGGGTTACTTGGCTGTAGATATATACATGCATACATGCCTACGTAGGTACACATATATACGTATACATACAAAGATTCATGCATACATACATGTATGCAGGTATAAATTCATACACATACGCACATAAACACACACGCACGCGCACACACACACACACACACACACACACACACACACACACACACACACACACACACACACACACACACACGTGTATGTATGCGTGTAGGTCCATGTACACTAGTACATCATAAAGAAAATATGAAGACTAGAGGTTATTCTTATTATTGTTATTTTCCTTTTACATTAGTCACGGTACCGACGCATTGTTAATCATATGACGTCATACTCCATTTCTGTCTAGTGCTTTTCAATTAAAATGAAGTGTCATTTCCATCTCTGCATTCATAAACAGAATATAATGAATGAGGCTCCATTCCAATCACGAATCTAATAAATTAATAAATAAAGTGAAATTAAATAAAATCAAATACAATACAATACAATAAAAGGACATGAAACGTAAAACAAGGTAAAATAAAACAAAATAAAAACTTTAAAAAACGATTAAATCAAACTAAATTGAATAAAACTAAACGAATCAATTCAAAATCATTAAAAGAATAAACGTCCAATTGCCGAAAATCTGAATATCAGTACAACTGCATAACGTTCGCGAAGTGAAAGCGACACAGCGTGACAGGAGCGAGAGATATAACAGCGTAAAAAAAAAAAAAAAAAAAAAAAAAAGACGCCGGAATGCATTGCAATAAAAGTCATATACATCCAGCTGCTCCTGCCATTGTTTAATTCATTTTTGCCGTGTTGCAAAATGGAAAATGCATGCTTGACAGTGCTGACGTGTCGTATATATATATTTTTTTTTTTCAAAGTTGATGGGACGATGAAATTAGGTAAATTGTTTGGACAAATTAGACATTCTGATAAGATTTCGTAGGTTGATGGCATGTTAACGTTTCAACGCGTCGGTATTTGTTTTTTTTGAGAGATTTTACGAAACATAATCTGCTTATATTTGGCCTTACGGTTGTTCCATAATCATATATTGTCCATTAAGAACAAACATTTGAATTATGTTGCTTAGCCCGTTTGCATTTAATCTAATTATTCTGTGTGTGAGTAACAGTTTAAATCATTTATGGTTTGTCGTACAGAGATGAGACAGACATTCACTCATATGTTAATTATCAAGTCTTTCCTCTCTTTTCTTTTTCCTTTTTATGGGGAGTGAGTGACACAAAATCAAAATGTCTGATCATCGGCGAGGCAGTCTGTATGTCTTCTGTGCGTTTATTTCGACTTCCTAAAGCTTTTCACAACATTATCGCCATCATGTGGTCATGAAGGACACCAATTTAATTATCTTGACATCGCTCTTAATTAATTATACATTGACAATACTCGCTATCGGTTACTGATATTGTCTCGTCTCTGTGAACAAAATGCAGTCCAAATATTTTAATTTAAAGAATATATTTTTTGTGATACTGGAGACTATTACAGACTCTGTTAAATAAATATTATGGATCAAGACTTTCAAAATTGCGTATAATATCAAATGACACCCCTAGCTATACCCAGTCGTAATCATGGAAGAACGCTAGATTTTTAAGAAACACGAATTCATACTCATTATGAGATAAGATAACATACGTTTTTAGGCTACCATTATCAAGACCTTAGATACAGGTCTTTGTTATTACACAAAATTAACTGAAACAAGAATAGGACACGTTTACCTGAGAGTACCGCAGGCACCGTAGACATGGACGTGCACATGTTCTTGCAGCTGCCTCACGTAGTCCTCCCTGCGCGAACGAGTCTGGCAGTGGGACGACATCCAGGCTACTAATTTCGGCCGCAGCAGGAACTCGGACCAGTCCTTCCCCGCGTCTTCTGTGGGGGAAGTTGTTTAAGTTTACCTGCATGGCTTTTCTTGTTTGGTGCTCTAACTAGTTTCTGACGGATCGTGCTTCAGATTCGGTAATGAATAGTTTGAGTCATTGTCGATATCCGAAAAACTTTGTAACATGATTCGGTGGAGTTTTTGTTGTGGTGTTTTAGACTTATTTTACAGCATGAGGACCTGTTATATAAACATATAAGTCTACAGAGGAAATGGAAGCTAAAAATATGTTATGAACGCTAGTGACAGTTAATCGTTTACTCATTTACGATTTGCAGAACACTGACGAGTTTTGTGTTCATTCTAATAAGTGCAGTTTTTTCCCAGATTCAACCAACGTCAATACGTAGGTACACTAGACAACACACACACGCACTTTCCCTTCTTGCAGATTACGAGACCACCTGCTTACCTGTGGCCCAGTCCACGTAGGGGACCCATGACGGGCCCATGATATCCTCGAAGGCCTCGCTGCCATGTAGGGCGTTCATATAAGCCTCGTAGAAGGGGCTCTCCGTGTCGAGCAAAGCAGGCCTCAAGGACGTCAACAGGAAACCCCTACGTGTCTTGGCAGAGGTGGAAGGGCCATCTCGAGACAGCGTGGCATTGTCTCTGGGTACGAGGGCGCCGTAGGGTTCCATGATGTTTGAGGCTGGATGGTATGTCATGGTCCAGTTGAAGAGGTTATCCAGGCGATGCCCAGTTGCGTTCGCCTGTTGGGAAGGGACGTGAGCTAGGAGCATGGCACAAAACAGAAAGAAAGTACTATTCCATTCATAAATCGTGAATACATATACACACACTTGTATTTACACAACCACACGCAATTACATATGCACATACGTACATCCATACGGTAAAGATAAAGAAAAACACACACTCTTAGCTGTGCTCCTTAACAAGCCAGGATCGCCTGTGGTATGGACTGGGACGTCTGACGTCGGTGCCTCCACGTGAACCCAGACCCACCGCTGACTCGAAGATCGACTGTACGGCAGGTCGGACATCTTCACCTCTGCAGACTGTGAAGAGAGACATCACTAGAAGAACTACTTATGAAAAGAAAACTTTATTGGTTGTATTGGTGTGCCTCGCGAGAGTAATTATAGATACCAGATGATAATTAAGTTATAGTAGGAATCAGATCATGAATAGGTACCATCTGAGATGAGCCAGCTCTCTGCATGCAGGACAATCTACCGAAATATGCACGTGAAGGGAAAAACACACTCACTAAAAATAGCACAGCTGCCGCCTCTTCTCTCTTCCTCCGATCGTGGGTGAAGTAGCACTTTGTCTCCGGACAGTGGGCGGCCTCCAAGTCAACGCCCCCGCCCACGCGTACCCACCACGCCTGGCTGAACCACGACGTCCAGAACAGCACTAATTTCCTGTCCTGACGTGACTCACGAGTCGAGTCGTAGCCGTTCATCAGGTCCCGGAGCTTCCTCATGACGGTGGCGCTGAGGCGGCGCTTGCTCCTGACGTAGACGCCCTCCGGAAGATCCTCGTAGTAGTCGTAGTTAATGTCGTCGTTGATGTACTCATTAACGAACTCCTCGAGCCTCTTGTGGAGGGCGGCCCAAACTCTCTGGTACAGCATCACGGTCGCCTGGCCCAGCACGCACAGCGCCAAGAGGCCGAACCACCAGACCAGCCGCTTCCTCATCGCGGGAGGCCTAGGGTGTGGGGGGGGGGGAAGGAGCCCGGAAAAATCATCAGGTAAAATTTGGGTCTCAGACTGAGGCGGAGAGCTAATTAAACTCTGAGAACTAATTTACCGTCATTAATAATATATTTGTAATATTTCTTTGATATGGACATTGCTTGACTTATAATAACCATGCGAGGTGTCCGACGGGATAAAAGGGACTTAATAAATAAATAAACGGCCGATGATCATACGAACAAATAAACTGCCACACTTACGCATTCGAACACGTAGACACATACCCCTACAAA